ACACTTCTTCTGAACTGTTATGGGTTCAATTTCTGCTTAAAGAACTTCAAGCTCCCTTTCTAACCCCCAAAATCTATTGTGACAACCTCAGTACAGTCCAACTGGCTCACAATCCTGTACTACACTCTCGCATTAAGCATATGGAAATTGATCTTTTCTTTGTCAGAGAGAAAGTTAAACTCAAGCAGCTAGAAGTTCTTCACATTCCAGCCTCTCAACAGATTGCAGATGTGTTGACCAAGCCTCTATCAGCATCCTCATTTCTTGAATTTAGAAACAAACTGAGTGTGATTGATCTTCCAAAACAATCATCCTCAGTTTGAGGGGAGAATGTTAGGAATAATAGAATAATAGATATTCTCTTTTGCTTGTATTCCTGTATTGAGTTGCACGCTTAGTCTGTTAGTTACCAATTGTATAAATACTCTGAAAACTTCAATTCTAAGTAAGATGATTTCATTTTCTATCTTCTACCACATTCAGTTTCTAATACACCCTTACACAGCGGAGAAATTGGCTGACATCTGTGTGAAACAAATCTATAAACTTCATGGAACCCCAGAGTCTATAGTAAGTGATCGGGATGTGGCTTTTCAGAGTTCTTTTTGGAAAGAGTTTTTCAAGTTGCAAGGAACTAAGCTATGTATGAGTACTGCTCATCACCCTCAAAGTGATGGACAGACGGAGCGACTTAATAGGTGTCTAGAAACCTATCTAAGATGCCTGACTCACAAGCACCCTAAAAAGTGGAATCAGTGGCCGTCTCTTACAGAATGGTGGTACAACACTTGTCACCACCATTCCATTAAGGAGACTCCTTTTAAGGCTCTTATGGATATGAACCTCCCCAACTATCGGTTGGACCTTATTTGCAGACATCCAATTATTCTGCACAGCAAGTGGTACAAGAGAGGCAGCAAGTACTCCAAAACCTCAAGGAACATATGTCTCAGGCTCAGGAGAGGATGAAGAGGTATGCTGATTCAAAGAAAATAGAGAGATCCTTTCAAGTGGGAGATTGGGTTTTTCTGAAAATCCAACCCTTTAAACAAGGGAACACGCTGCTCAGAAGACCAACCAAATTTTCTATAAAATACTTTGGTCAATATCAGATCATCCGTAAGATTGGGGCAGTGGCTTATCAACTGCAACTACCTCCAAATTCTAGAATGCATGATGTATTCCATGTCTCCCTACTTAAGGGGAAAATAAAAAATAAATACAGTGTCTAGGCAACCCTAGGCAGAAGAAAGCATCAATTGCGGAATTCTATATGTGTGGGCAACTAGGCACCCTAAGCAGTGCCTAGGTGCTGCCTAGTCTCTCCTAGATTCAACATTTAACCACCAGCATTGTATTGGTGAACACTCCACCTTATTGGTGTTTTTATAGAGCTACTAGAAAAAGTTGCAATAATATATTCTATAATTAAAAAAGTTACTTTAAGGATAGGCGCCCTAGGCATGTTTGGAAAATTCCGCAACCATGCGAAAGACACGAATAATTTAGGCTGTTAACATCAGAAGGTTTGATTGTTACTCATTAATCATCAAAAACCCTAGCTTAATTGAATATATATATATCTATATATATATATATATATACACATATATATTTATTTAATTAGATAAGGTATCAAATAAAAACACCTCCTAATTTACAAACTACAAACTCATCTTCGCCTAGTTTTATATGTATATTTTGGTGCAGTTATCTTTCAAAACATCATTTGACTGCCTTCCCGGTTGAATTTTTAGCTCAAATTTGATGAACATCATTTACACTTCATCTGGAACATGCTTTAAAAAATCAGCAAAAAATACTACCGGGAACCACCTAGAAACAAGGTGGCCGGACGGGGCTCTGGTCAGGAATTTTCTGACTAGAAGATACTCTATATATATATGGAATCATTTAACTGTTCCAACCATTGATTACACATGCTGACATGCAGCTGACGTAGCATGACCCTGACTACTTAACTAGGCAACTCTACAACAAAAGAAAAAAGCAAAAATTGTTATTATATTGACAGTGGTTACATGTAGCAACAAGTGGCATACTCCTGCACAGTTTACTGGACGAATCCATAAAAATGAAAAGCAAACTGCTACAATATTGATAGATTTTACATGTAGAAACAACTATAACACTAATGTCAAGTGTAATGTTCTGTATCAGACGTAAATCGTATAGCTCCCGCAGAGTGTTGTCAATAGCATGCTATAGCTGCGCTACAGCGGTATAGCGGAGCGGAGGAAGGGTTGAGCGCTACAAGAACACCTGTAGCGTTGCGTTTGACTCTAGCGGGAGTAGCGCCGCTATAGTGGCACTATTTGCTTTTCTTTGCTGCAGTTAGGTTTTTTCTTGGCTAAGTTTCGTTTTCAGAGGTATTAAGGGTAAAGTAGATGATATGAAGCAGAATCTGGGCTTGGAAGAAGAGGGGCAGAAGCCCCCGTGGGTTTACCGAAGGCGGGACGGGCTTGAGCCCACCTTCGTGGGCTGGTTGCTGGCTGTTTAATTAATATTTATTATTCCTTTTATTTTGTTTCCTAATTTAATTTGTTTCCTAGTAGGATTTATTTAGGACTTCTATTCTTATTAGAATTAGAGGTTTCCTATTTCTATTTAGTTTCCTAGAATGATTTAATTAGGAGTTCTATTAGAACTAGAGGTTTCCTATTCTATTTAGTTTCCTAGATTAATTTATTTAGGATTCCTATTCTTATTAGACCTAGAGGGTTATTTATACCCCTTGTATGCTTCATTCCTGATGATTTGGGGAATAAAAGTTGGTTTAGCCTTTTGGCTTTGGGCAACGGTATTTATTTATCGTTGATTATCGGGCAACGGTTCATACCGTTGATTTTATTTTTCTGTTCTTATCAATTGGTCCGACCTGCCGGATTCGAACCAAGGCGCATCCCTGGCAGCGCTTACCAAGGCGCTCGTTCCATCAGTCACGACGAAAACAAGCTCGGACACGGTTGGCAGCCCCAACGTATCTACGCACATCGGCGACGGACAGCTGCACAACGTCACTTCTTCATTGGCTGCACTAAAAGAGACTCTCGCACCGCCAGCGGCGGAGCATTCAATGGTGGTGACTTCACTCGACGCGACAACAACATCCTCGTTCAGAATTGGACTACACAGCTCCTTTCTTACGACGTTGCCCTCGTTTAACGAAGTAGAATCGATCAGCCGGGTCGATAAGGCTGAGAAACGGTTCAAATTGAATTGTGCTCTGCCGGGAAAGAAGGCGGCAGCCACTGTAGTTTGATGGAAGGGTCAGCCCTATACCGGTTGACCTCGATGCGGACACGAAAGCCGGGCATGTCATGGGATGAGCTTACACAGGCATTGGTGGCTCGTTTTGACTCACAGTTTCAAGGCAATTGCTTTGAACGGTTGTCCGGAGGCAAGCAGACAGGGACTGTGGAGGAGTACATCTCAATTTTTCCTAAAGATACTGGGCAACCACCGGGAACAAATGTCAGCCGATTTCCGGATTTCAACCTTGAGGACAAGGTTTTTTCGAAGGGGGGTGGAATTGATATGAAGCAGAATCTGGGCTTGGAAGAAGAGGGGCAGAAGCCCCAGTGGGTTTACCGAAGGCGGGACGGGCTTGAGCCCACCTTCGTGGGCTGGTTGCTGGCTGTTTAATTAATATTTATTATTCCTTTTATTTTGTTTCCTAATTTAATTTGTTTCCTAGTAGGATTTATTTAGGACTTCTATTCTTATTAGAATTAGAGGTTTCCTATTTCTATTTAGTTTCCTAGAATGATTTAATTAGGAGTTCTATTAGAACTAGAGGTTTCCTATTCTATTTAGTTTCCTAGATTAATTTATTTAGGATTCCTATTCTTATTAGACCTAGAGGGTTATTTATACCCCTTGTATGCTTCATTCTTGATGATTTGGGGAATAAAAGTTGGTTTAGCCTTTTGGCTTTGGGCAACGGTATTTATTTATCGTTGATTATCGGGCAACGGTTCATACCGTTGATTTTATTTTTCTGTTCTTATCAGTAGACTTTTGAACAAAAATAGTAAGTTAGTAACGACTGTAAAAACCTTTTACGCACTAGTGTTGCTACTCACACCTGATACGATGACAAGTATCTGGTTCTCTTCTGCAAGAACAAGTGAACAACCTCTGCAGCTTCATCTCCTACAAGAACGACATCTGCTACACTTTTCCAATTGCTTCTCTTGAGTATATTTTCTCCTTCTCCGTCCTCTACGAGAACTACCTCTGCTGCACTCTTCTTTTCTTCTTCTAAGTAGCATCTTCTGTTTATTGTTTAGACTCAACCCACTCAAGTTGTTATTTAACTATTAATAGCATCGTATCTTTTGTTCATGACCCAATGGAGTATTTTGTTGGTAATTTAGGATTTATGAATGTCAAGATGTTGGGTATTTTCAGTAACATAAATCATGTTTTTCTTAAGTTGATGAGTACACAATGTAATTATATGCATGCATATCATCTGTATTTTGAATATATATTCTCTGAATAGCGGTCATCCCGTTATCCACTATACCGCTATAGTGTTTTGAGGGCTGGCCGCAATGCTCCGCTATCCGGGATTGACAACACTGCTCCCGCACTGAATCAATGCTTCTAACGTGGCATACTTCTGTCTAGTATATATAAAACAACCACAGATGCAGGATGAATACAGAATCAGAAGTTTTATTCACAACCATCAGAGAACTCTCATGGTATTTCACAAGAGTGACAAGACAATTTTTTTATCTTCCGCTTTCTTCAAAAAAAAAAAAACTTTTGCTTCAATCTATTATGTTTCTTTTCAATACCATGTACCTTCTATTTCCTTTTACACTATACTATTTACTCAATGTTAACTACACAAACCTAACACATAATAAAAAAGTAATGAATTTGGAATTTAAATCCTATGTTTTGTTCTCCTGTAGTCCTGTACAAAAGCAATATTTTGCATTTGAAAGAAAGACAGAAGTAACAACCTGCATACTTCCGCACGGTTTCTACTCTAGCCACCTCCTTTGCCAGTGCGGGTAACTCCTCCCCCCAAATCTTACTCGGGCCTCCATCTGCACAACAAGGTAAGGCAAAACCTAATTAATAGATACGGTGTGCGAATTAAGGGAAAATGAGCGCTTACTTTATAGGCATAATTTGGCGCATTTACCAGATGAAGAAGATGCAGTATGAGAGGAACACCGTAGATCCTTCACTTTGACATTTATGTCATCAAGAAGACCATTGATATGTGCAGAATGTGAAGCATAGTCGAAAAGGTAGTTCTCAAGCTGCTTGTTAAGATCCAAGAGGTTTTGGTCAAGGTCATTACATTGATTCTGGAGCTCCAACAAAAGATGAGGAGCCTGCTCAAGGTCTTTGAGAGTGCTGAGCTTGGCATTGAGAAATGAGATGACTGAGGGAGAAAGAGACGTGGCTGGTGGCAGGCTCCGAATCATTTTCCCTGTTTCAGAAACCATTTGATTGTTAACTCATGAAAGTTAAACACATTATTCCCTGTGTTGGTTTAGCAGATTTAGAGTCTTGAGTAGGTGTTTGGATCTACTTAAAACTGCTTCTTGGAAGACTCTAGCAAATACTGACTTCAAAAATTATGAACAGCCACCTGAAGTGGTATAACTTCAGTGCCAAACTCAAATTAGCATAACTGATTTTCTCCTCGTTGAAAAATACTGTTTTTGTTAAGTTTGTCAAACGCCTCCAGCTCTTCAACCAGAGACTGCTCCGTACCAGCCCCCATAGCTTGCTGCGGACTTGAAAACGACGTATCTTATCTTTGTATTCTCGGCTTTTGTAAAAGTTCAATTTCGGTTGATAAGGTCCCCTCACAGCATTTATGGCTACTCAATCTACTTCCAAAAAGGCAAAAGTCACATTGCGTTCGTTTTATAAGCGTAGTACAAGCACACAAAGTAGATAAAAGTTAAACGTCTCAAATGAAACTCCTAATATCTCATCCGCTCAAGAGAAAGTAGTTTCCGATGCATTTGTAATTGAGCTGGATCCGGGAAAAAGCAAAACGATAATTGATTGGCCGTTAGAGAAAAGAGATGATATTAGACGATCTTATTTGATGGTCTAATATCATATTTGACGGCAAAAAAAAAAAACTAACCAATATTTTATTTTAATTCATATAATTCATATTAATATTTTAAGAAATTCACAAATCACAATTGACATTCCTAATTTTCTATTACACAATTCAAAGCACACAAATCAATTAAAGTAACAAACTAAATTAACAAATAAAATACTTAAACTAAAATAAGAATTGTAAAAACAAAAAAAAACAGAAACCCTTACCTTGGCTCAGTCACACGAACAGCCTGCGCAAATGAGCAGAAGCAGAGGGCGACACACCAAGTTGGCTGTGTCGAGACTGGAGTCCTCAAGAGTCGAGAGAAGAAGACAGCAATCAAGAGACGAGCAGGAGAAGACGGCGAACAGCACAGGCCAAAAGGTGCGTTCGTGGGTGTCCGTCCTCCAGCGATGAGAGCGGCGGAGCCGGCGAGCGGTGAAGCGGCGACGTCCGGCGAATCGACTATGCAGGCTGAGGCGTGCGCCAGTCACTCAGGTGCGTGATGCCTCCAATGTGGATCGGTGCGCTATTTTCTATGGATTGGGCCACAAAGGCTCTACACTGGGCCAGTCTTATATTTTTACTAGGCCAATTCCCAAAAAAAACAATTAAAATTAAAAATATATACTCCTATATACCTCCAAAAAAACAATTAAAATTAAAAATATATACTCCTATATAAAGGGAAAATGGGCATTCATTCAAAAAAGGGAGACAAAATGAGCAAATAAGCTCTCGAACTAATCAAAAAAGTGCAAATCACACATTATATAGGAGGCTCTGTCCGGACGTCGTCATTTGGGGAGGTTCCTGGTGGAATTTTTTTGATGAATTTTTTTGAACATTTTCTTCATCAAGTCTAGTTTACTCAGACCAAATTTCATCTAAAAATTTAATCGAGAATGCAGTCAAATGAATTTTTGAAGATAACTGCGCAGTTAAACAGTGCAGTATATTTCAGGAAATCATTTGACTACCTCCGCAGTTGAATTTTTAGTTGTAATTTTGTATGAGTAAACTAGACTTAATGAAAAAGATGCTCAAAAACATTTGTCAAAAAGTTTCACCGGGAACCGCCCCAAATGGCGACGTCCGGACAAAACCTTCTATATAAGGGGTGCTTTGCACTTTTTTTTGTTAGTTCGAGAGTTTATTTACCCATTTTCCCAAAAATAAAAATGCACTGGGCCAGGGCCCAACATGGCCACCCCCACCCTCCGCCCCTCTGAGTGTTGAAGCTCTCCGTAAAGTGCTTATTTATTTTATTAACAAGCTATTTATATATTTATATGTCGGTAACCATTAAACCCCGATTACAGATTTCATATAGTTTCTTAATTCCAAATATAGAAATAAGGGTTCATATCACACGTTGCCTGAGCCGGTTTGTGTTGGGGAAAGGAAACTTGGGAAAGTTGATCCACCCCAATTTTAGATTCGATTCGAGTTTGTTGTCGTAAGATTCAATTCGTGTTTTATTTAAACGTTGTTGGTGTTTCTGTTGACCTAAATAGATTATCAAATAAAACCATTTGGTTAAATTTTTGTATTCACTTATTAGCGACTTCAATTTCACGTAAATTGAGAAAAATTAAAATCACTTGTTACGTGACCGTATATTTTCTACAATGAAAGTATAACCTTACTGATCCCCCAATGTATGCGCGCGAAGCATTACAAATCAAGGAGATATTCTGTATTGACCTATTATTATTCTTTCCTTTTATTATTTCTTCCATTTGTAATTATTTATTTCCTTTTCTGATTTTGCTTCCAGCACAATACATGCATGTATATATTCATACGAAGAGACCCACTGTAATAAAAGTTCAAATATCTCAAATACAAAAATCTTCAACCTTCTCATTTGATCTTATTTTATTTATCATGGTATCAGAGCAAAAACCTGGTATTTTTCTTCTGATAATTTAATATCCCCACAATATGGTTGTTGGCGATAAGGATGATACTTTGAATGATCAAACTTTGATCATTGATTCTATATCCCCATATTTTATTCAATCCGGTGATGAGCCCGAAGATGTTTTTGTCACTTCTCTTCTCCGAGATGGTAATTACGGAGATTGGCTCAAGTAAATGAGCAATGCCTTATATGCTAAAAAAAATCCGGATTTGTCAATGGAGATTTACTAGCTTTTCTCTTAGGGGGATCTCACCATTCTTTCAGAAAGGAGAAATCACGTGGATACCTAAGGTCAAGGTTTATCACATCCAAACTGGAAGATGTGTAAGTTCTAACTCAAATCCGTTATTATTGTTATCCGTTGATTTTTCATAATCAGGAAAGATTTGTTAGAGAAATTTTTAAACTTCCACTGACCTATTTTCGAGGTACGTTACATCAATTTCCTAACAGTGGTATAAAAGCCAAACTACAACCCCCTCTGTTGGAGGAAGACTTGGAGTCTCAATATTCCCAAATTTTATGCGTGTCTTTTTCTTTTTTGGGCATCTCAGGGCTCTGCGTCTTCTATACAAAAAGATTAAGCTGACTAGTCCACCAAGAATAACAAACCACCAGCTGTGTAACCCCTGCTCCCAGCAAACAATTAAGTATTCAACCAATAAATTGCCTGTATACATCCCACCACAGTTAATTGGTGCAAAGTTAGTGGAATTTAGTTATTTAGATCGCAAAAGTGAACAAAAGCATTATCCTATTACGTAGGGTTAAATTAATTTTTTCTCAATATATCTTTCAGGGAGATCAAATTTTTAATTATATTTATTAACAAATTTTAAATAAGCAAATGATCAACATAGCTACAACTAATCAAGGAGATATTCTGTATTGACCTATTATTATTCTTTCCTTTTATTATTTCCTCCTTTTGTAGTTATTCATTTTCTTTTCTGATTTTGCTTTCAACACTATACATGCATGCATATATTCATAAGAAGAGAGAGACCCACTGTAATACAAGATTCAAATATCTCAAATACAAAATTCTTCAACCTTCTGGCTTGATCTTATTTTATTTATCATGGTATCAGAGCAAAAAACTGGTATTTTTCTTCTGATAATTTAATATCCCCACAATATGATTGTTGGCAATAAGGATAATACTTCGAATGATAAAACTTTGATCATTGATTCTATGTCCCCATATTTTATTCAGCCCGGTGATAAGCCCATAGATATTTTTTTCACTATTCTTCTTCGAGATGGTAATTACGAAGATTGGCCCAATGAAATGAGCAACGCCTTATATGCTAAAAACAAATTCGAATTTGTCAATGGAGATATTCCGATGACGGCGTACGGCTCCCCAACGTGCCATGTTGGCATCGAGCTAATGCTACGGTCGAAGGGTGGCTTAATAGTAGCATGGAGCTTGAGTTAAGGCAGAGCGTTAAATTCAAGACGACACAAGAAATATGGAAGGATCTTGTGTAGCGTTTTGGCAAATTTTGTTCATTTGAAGTACTATCGAATTGACAAGTGCGTATCAAAGAAATATTTAGATTTTCTTATGGGTCTAGATGATTATTATGGGCAGCTCAAGACCCAAATACTTGTGACACGCCCACTTCCAAATTGACCAGTGCGTATCACATCATCTCCGAAGTGTAACATCACCGAGACATAGCCACCTCACACAAGATTGAAATTGAAGCTTCAACATTCCAAACACAGACAAAGCCTCCTCCTCCTGCTGATGATAACTGAAAATCAAATGGAAAGGATGGATGGCATTGCACACACTGCGGAAAGACCAATCACACCCATGAAACATGCTTTGAAATCATTGGATATCCAGCCAATTGGAATATCCGCAGCAGGGGCGACAAGGCTACCGGGCATCAACATGGTAATAATCGTTCTGTTTGATCCCTTGTCTAAATCGGTGATTCAAAGAAACAGATAGGTTCACCTCGCGATGCACATGTTGACCAGGTAAAGAGCCATATTCTTGGATTGTCGAATGAGCAACTCCAGCGCCTGGATCAATATATGTGTGAAGAATTTTTGTAGGGCCCCACTTCTGAAGAACCCACTACCCAAGTCAACATGGCAGGAAAAATGGCATTCCCACCGTCATGGATAATAGACTCCGGGCGCATGGATCACGTGTGATAAAACACTCCTAACTGACGACATGGCAAACCCATCTCAATTTCCTGTCTGGATACCTAACACTCTATGGGTGGTGAAACAATGTCACATTCAAAAGATGAGTGTGGCAGAGATGTGAATCATGGTTCGGTGCGGCAGAGATGACTTCCAAATCGGTGGCGTGGCTACTGGATTTGCAGATCTACGATGTGATTTCTGGTGCTAGGGTTCCAGCGGGTAGGTGGGGTCTGGATATGAAGATTTGGGTGGCGGGTTGATCTGTGTTGGTCGGCCTTCAGAGTGGTGGTGGTTGCCGGAGGACTGATGCGACGGTGGTTGGGGACAGTTCAGGGGGGATGGGCAGGGGGTTGGGACTAAGGTTTGAGTGGTTGTGGTGTGGGAGGGGGTTGTGTGGGATCTGGTGCTTATGGCTTGTAGGGCGGGGATTGGAGGCTGGGTGGGGGTCTGGTGCGTAGGGGTTGGGGCAGGAGCAGCGGTGGTGGCTTGGGACGGAAATGGGCAGCAATGGCGGCTTGGGTTGTTGTTGGCGCCACAGTGTCGGAAAATGAGCCGAAAAATTTTCTAGTAGCGGCGTCACTATGGCAACGTCACTGTGGTGGCGTCACTGCGGTTAATGTCACTGCTGAGATTAGTTACATTTTTGTCCAAATGTAAATGTGTGGTCACTTTTTTTTGGAAATAAGCTCAAGTTTAGTAATATTAAGGGGATAACCCCTAATACTTAAATCCCAAATTAGATAAAAATAGAAGACTCCCAGACACCATAATGGATTAATTGCGAAGACATGGAACAAGTATGACTAGTATCCGTAAAAAGTAATCATTGAAAAACAATCATGGAAAAAACTAGAGCTACTACTAATGTGATGCTGACTATGTAAATTACGATGCCAACTTCTGTAGAAAAAAAACACATAAACACCACACAACCAAATGACCTGGGAAGCAAATTAAATCGGCTCAAGTAAGTGTTATGGGTTTGAGTTGAACGTCTTGAACCCTTTTCTCTATCTCACTGGCGATGCTGATATATCCCGCTTCTCATATTCTTCCCTTTCTATTTTCACTTTTTCTCCGTTGTTTCCACTAAGAAGATCAAGAGCAAAAAAGACATGTGCAATTGGAAGCTCGATCGGTACAAAAGGTTAATCTCTTAATATTATATAAAAAAAACTTATAATAGCCAATAAAGGTTAGGGCATTTAAGGAAAGAAAAAAATGTTGGTGTAATCAACTAGCTTAGCTTCATTGAGTTGTACCATATGTTTGGGCGCCTGTACTCTATTTTTAGAGGGCCTAAACTTCCGTTTTATCTTCGTCCTTAGCTCACATGCCTTCCATCTCCCTAGATAATCCTAGCCTTGAATACAGCCATCTGGTTCTCTCCTCCCCTTGTCACTCCTAACCTTACTATCACACAGCTACTTCCGTTCGCGCCCGCAACCTCACCTGACAGCTCCCATAGTTTCTGTGTTGTGCCGCTAACAGGTAAATGCTTGAGCTTCAGGTCTTAGCCAGCACAAGAGAGAACTCACGCCTTGCGACTTTCTCTGCTCTACATGCGTGCTACATTTAGATCCTGGATCTGTGAAGCCTTAGGTCGAGGAGAAAGGAGGCGGGGAAAGGAAAAAAATGATGATGATGATGATAATAATGATGTGATGATGAGGGCTTCAAGAGGAGTAGACACTGCTCTCTGGGTTTTCAACGGCGTCGCTTTCCCCAAACCCCGTAGAGTCGGTGGATTCTTCAATCGGCCATGTGGTTTTGATGTGATTTAGTCCATCAAACCTTTCTGCTTGATATGCACTAATTAGTAGTGCATAAGTGTATGTTGTTATGTTTGATTTGTGTGGATTGTTTACCGTTTTATTTAGTTTGTAAACATTTGTGTGATTTTAGTTGTAATTGTATTTTTATCTTCATTTATAAGTTGTAAAGTAGAATTAGGAATTATGGTGTTGAAAAGGAGGACTTTGAAGTGAAGAAAAAGGAGATTGGACTCTCCAGGAGCTGAAACCCGACCAGGTATAACACTTGACCCGGTCGGGTAAGATTTAACAGACGAAAGTGGCTGGAAATTACACAGACCCGGTCGGGTCCCCTATGTCACCCGGTCGGGTCAGACTTGACCCGGAACACCAGAATGTGCCGAAGATCACCAGAACGTGGAGAATATCTGATTTTGACCGGACCCAGTCAGGTAGGCACTTGACCCGGTCGGGTACCCTGCCCAAGGTGTTGAAAAACACCTATAAATAGCACACTTTTCCTTCACAAATAATCATCCCTTCTTCCATACTCTTAAGCTCGGTTTAGAATAGCATTTCTTTATATCTTTTTCTAGCATGTTTAGTCTCCAAATGAGGAGCTAAACTTCCATTTCTTGGTGTTGCTCTTGAAGCTTGTTGATTATTAAAGTTGTGAGTTATTTTCTTAACTTCTTTCCTTGAATATTAATTCTTCCTTTAAATACTATTTCTATATCAATGTTGGGGAGTGTTACTAAGATGACAATTAGTTAACATCTTGACATTGGTTATAGTAATAGTTATTTCTTCCTCTATGTTAATATTGGGGAGTGTTACTAAGATTACATTTAGTTAAAATCTTGATATTAACTATAGTAGGATTCATCTTCCTTAATATTCTTCCTTGAGTATTAATTAATTCCTATTCATATTTCATATTAATATTTTGAACATTACTTAAAGGATCAACTAGTTTTGTTTCATATACTACCTCCGTCCCGGACTCCCGGTGGACTTTGCCAAGTGCAAAGTAGGTGAGATATAAGAATTGTAAAAACTGTGTGGTTGATATTTGTGCAGAGGAGAGAGAAATGTGCAGAACCACAAATTAGTTGCTTTAATAGGAAAGTGACAAAGTTTTTTTGGGACAATATAAAATGTAAAGTTGGCAAATTACCTTTTTCTTACTCAACCACAATCATACATTTGCACTTTATTCTCACTTTCTTAAACTTCGATCCAAGTCAGACTGAATAGAATTTTCTGGGACGGAGGGAGTAAGTGTCACTAGACATTGTTATTAGTTTTTGAAGTACATAAAAATGATTTGACCCATTTTCTTACTGCAAATGAATAATGCGACAGTTGTGGGAATGCTCCTCTTTGGCACCTATATATTGATTATTATTCTTTTCTAGTTTGTATGATGTAATTAATTTTGATAGCACGAGTATCTTAATTGTGCCCAAATAGGCAACCAATCAGCACATAATATGAAGAACAAATAATACAACGAAAAAATCAAAGTAAAATAGAAGTAGCGGCAAAGCAGTGTAGTGAGCTTATTAAGTTGTTTTCTTCTTTCTGAACTGTGATTTCAAATTTCACTATAATTGGCATTCATATTTTGTCATGTAACATCAACAATTACCAGAGCTTGTCAATTCTTTGTGTAAATTTATATTCATGTGCTAATTGAATGGAAATAGTACCATTTTGGACAATGTTTATTTTCATTACTGAGTACAATATTTGGCAAGTACATTGCCATCATGTTTATTAGGCAATCTATTATATACGTAGCATCTGTATATCACCTTCGTCCCATAATGTAAGATACATGTGGCCATGTGAGTTTGGTGTACGTTTTAATAAAATAAAAAACAAAGTGATTGTTCTACAATTTTGAACTCCAAAAAGTAAGAATAAGTAAGATGAGTTTACAAAAAGTAATAAATGAAATGCTAGATAAATGGATAAAGTCTGAAAGTAAAGGGTTAGTGGAGTTTAATTTAGAAAAGTGGTCATATTTTTTTAACAACCCAAAAAAAGAAAATACATCTAAGAAAGTACATGATTTAGTCACTTGAAAGTCTTTGTCACAACTATTTTGTGTACCTATCAAGCATCATATTGATTCGAAGAATAACACACATATATATACAATATTGGTATGAATCAATTGTCCTAATAAAAACAATATGTTAATGATGTTGGACATTATCATAATCGCGCATCACGCAACACAAAACTAGTATGAGTATATAAGCAAGTCATAAACTCAAAACTCCAGTTGCAATTTACTACTCCGTACTACGTACTTTGTAAACATTGTTTTTATTTTTTAATTATAAGACCTTACTACGTTTTTATAGATACAGATTTTACATGATAATCGTTAGGAGTACTGAGAAGCTTAAGAATGCTAGATCGTTTGAGCCCAATTAAAGCCCATGGGGGATTCAAACTTTCGAAGCATAACACACAACACCAATTAGAGTAAATTATTATAAGAACAATTTAAGGATGTTTTTTTCTTTTGAACGATTGAAGGATGGGTTTGACAAAGAAGTCTGCTACATTATCATTTTCGACACGGAAAATAGATACTAGTCACTAGGCTAAAATTACAAAAAAAAACAATGCTTGACTGTATGGGAAAAGCTACTCCACTAAAGTTCAAATTTATTAACTAAGGTAGTAATTAAACGTTGCTGATCAGATAGATCAAAATGCACCCTTCCGCCCATAGCTTGTGGTGTGAGCAGTGAACCTATAAACCATGACATGATCATAAGTGTCCCCTGGATTTAAAACCTGTGAAGGGAAATTTGGATGGTTGACGGAATCTGGAAAGCCTTGCGTCTCCAAACACAACCCGGCATATTTTCGATACACAAACCCGCCTTTCCCCGCCGTATCATTCAACATATTGCTAGTGTAAAATTGCACCCCGGGCTTATTGGTCCACAACTCCATTTTCCTACCCGACTTGCGCTCTTCCACCACAGCCACCCTGTGCAAGTGGCGTGGCGGCATTCCCTCTATGCCATCCAACACGTAGTTGATGTCGTATCCTCTGGGGAGTCGGTTCAACTTGCTGCCGATTTCGCGCGGTTGTAGGAAATCATACGGTGTCCCTTTCACGGGCTGGATCGCCCCCGTGGGGATGAGATCGTCATTTACGGGGGTGATGCTGGACCCGAAGATCTGGATGGTGTGGGACAAGATGTCTCCGCTGGTATGGCCAGCAAGGTTCCAGTAGGAGTGTGAGGCTAAATTCACAGGGGTTGCCTTGTTCACAGCCTTGGCTTTCATCCTTATGCCTAGTTTGTTTTTGCCCAGTAGCATGTATCTCACACTCACATTCACATCACCTGGAAATCCTGCAGCATATTACATTGCGATCGTAACCATCAATGTCTGAAAATTAAATGTTGGAGAGATTGATATTTAATCTCATAATTTATAGTACCTCTGTCCCCTAAAACTTGGTCACAAATTATGACCAAGTTTTAAATATGACCAAGTTTTGTGCAACGCGAGTACACGTGGCACGTGCTAGCGTACTAACCTTGTTCTCCGTCGGGACTCATGTAGGAGAGTAAGAGATGGCGGTTCTGAACGTACTCTTCAACTGTCCATATAACATCACTGAATCCTATGCTACCACCTGATTTTATATGCATCCAAACACATCATACAAAACGTTATTTGTTAAATAAAAGTTTGGCTTGAATTAGTCACTAGTCAGTGCACGTCAGTTTTGGTCTAAGTCTGATTTTTTTTAATTTGTATTTGTCGAGTCTACTTATATGCTTAAACAAAGTTTGTGAGACTGAAGTCATTCAAGTTAAAATATTCTAAACTAATCTAAAGCGCTCCAACAATTCAGTCTTTTTTGCTTATTTATGTGAAGTATACTAGTAGCACATTTGTTGAAAAATAAACGGTATAAACTCACTTTCCTACCTTTAGAAATGACCTAATAATGGTGAAGACATGTTATCATCATTAAAAATGATCTGATCTTACAATTGTAATACATATATCCATGATTTCATACTAGTCACAAATTAAGGATTGCTTCTACTATTCAATACGTAGCATATTATTTTGGAAAATTCCTTTTGCACAAGTGTCTTGTACATGCCCGTATTTTACCCGCGTACATACACAATTTGAATGAGTAAACTAGACTTGATGAAAAAGATGATCAAAAAATTTCATAAAAAAATTTCACCGGGAACCACCCCAAATGATGACGGCCGGACATAACCTCCTAAATAAGGGCTTATTTGACCTTTTTTGGTAAGTACATGAGCCTATTTGCACTTTTTCCCTTTTTTAGACAAAATGCAAACAAAGGAAGTTGTTCAGTGTACGATGTACATAGATAATTCGGGTGTGTATATATAAGAAGAGCAAAGTTAAAGGGGTGAGTTATATAGGCAAATGGCAGACATAGGCAAATGGAGTGAGCTGTTACAATTTTTCTTGTAAATCTTTAATTTTTCCATGATTTTTACCAAATTGAAATTTGATCTGAGATGGGTCAGAGTCTCAATTTGGCCCCATAGCTACATCCCTACATAGGGGCATTGAAATAGAGGGAGAGAGGTTCAGAGAGGTGAGACGCATAGTAATACTCCCTCCGTATTTTAAAGTTCCCTACACTTTCCTTTTTGGGATCTATTTAAAAGTTCCCTACACTTTCGCTTTTTGGTAAGTTTTTTCATTTAAAAATCCTCAATTACTGTTAAGACCCGGAGTTCCATCCTAAAAGGTCAACCTGATAGGAGGAGTAGCTCATGTCTTAATATAGCACTTCATTGATTCAAATATTTCCGATGTGGGACTCTAACACCCCTCCTCACGACCAAACACTTCGTCTGGATTGTGCCGTCATTCAATTTTTTTCATCGATTCATCATTGTTATTTTTTCATAATCGTGTTGTCATTTTTTATAAGGGGGTCCACACCATGGATCGATTTGGCTCTGATACCATATTAAGACCCGGGGTTTCATCCTAAAAGGACAACCTGATAGGAGTAGCTCATGTCTTAATATAGCACTTCGTTGATTCAAATATTTCCGGTGTAGGACTCAAACAATTACCCTTACTTTTTCTACTTTTTATCATTTCTTTCCTACTTTTTCACCTTCTCTCCTACTTTTTATATAATATTCATTACCCTTACTATTTTACCTTAAATCTTGTGTCATAATCAAATGTAGCGATATTTGAAATACGGAGAGAGTACAATAGTACCATGGAGGGTGTTGCGGCCATTATCATTGGCAGGGAGTTTGTACTGGACCCCATTCAAACTGAACCTTGCTCCCCCGATTCTATTGGCTACCCGTCCAACCAGTCCTCCAAAGTATGTCGTATCATTCTGCACCGACTCATACATTTTAGTAATTGTTCATCTTCTTGCGGACACACATCACAGTAAGGGGTGAGCAAATAATCGACAAAACTGATAAAACCGAAAACCGATACCCGAACCGACCGAAAAAGTCGGTTATCGGTCGGTCATCGGTTATTACATATTAAAAGAAGTCGGTTATTCGATTATTTGGTTAACAGTCGGTTATTTTAATCGGTTATCGGTCGGTTAACCGAAAACCGACGTATAGTCTACTCCGTATAAACATTTCCATGTACTTCATGTACGCTATGATGTTTCACTTAATAATTATCATAATAATTATCATAATTACTCTAAGAAATAATGTCAAATATATGACCAAATTGAATATTGTGGATACAAATATGTCTTTTCATACTTTAATGACTAAAATTATAATTTTAATGTGCATGATTGTGTTCAATCTACTTACTTAATAATAAAGTACAACCTTCTAGTAATTGCTATTGAGTACAATTTATCAATTATCTAATTGCTATTAAGTACAATTTATTAATTATCAATTATCTAATTGCTATTGAGTACAATTAATACATTATATATATTTGCAATTAAGTACAAAAAACGTTTCAACACACATTTAATACTCATCAATAATGCCAGATTTTACATTCCTTACAGTACGTATATATCTCATTGCACATAGAATATTATATATTCTATCTACTTCCCTTCAGAATTTTGAAAAGGCTAGGTGCCCGTTTGATAATATCAAGATCGGCTGAATCAGCTGATTCTGCTGAAATTTATGAAATTTTGGCTAATCTGGCTGAATTGGGTGATTCTGTTGATTTATGAAAAAGATATATTTAAAATATATTTTATTAATGAAATAAAGAAAATATTACACGTAAAATAGCTAAAATGATCTTCTACATTAACTTCAGCCAATACAACCAGAAAAACAACTTCAACCTTACTTTTTCTTATTATTACACAATTCAGCGCATGAAATCGAAAGTTACGTATTTGGTGAAAAAACTGGCTGATAAGCCTGATAAGCCGAAAAACAAGTTACCAATTCAAGCCTGATATATTTATGTCAACGTAAATGCATATATATATACATATAAATATATATTTGATCCCAAAGTGCACAAATTCATGTACTACATTGATTCCGTGTATACGTGTTTATATGATGCAAAATGTACATGTGTTTATATATATAAAGTTTTTAAAGTATAATCACCAATTTTTTAACGGGTCTTTACCAAGTTTTAAAGTATAATCACAAAATGTGTTTAGGGGGTGTTTGGATCTGATTCTTAAAACTGATTCTGCTCTCTGAAGGAGCAGAAGTAGAAGCTGGAGTGTTTGGGTGAAAGTGCAGAAGTGATTCTGGTGCTCTAATTTACTCCTAGAATCAGTTTTTTTTAGAAGCTGGTGGTGACCAGCTTCTGAAAACTGATTCTGCTTTTACTTAAAAAAAGAAGCAGAAGCAGAATCAGTTCCAAACACACCTTAGTCCTTCATGGGTCTTTACCAATGTTAAAGTATAATCACATATTCTTTTTTGATGTACCAATAAAAAGTAGAGAGTATAATCACAAATATATAAAATATATTGTGGTAAAGTTTTTAAAACCTCAAGGTCTTAAAGTCATGGAAGTTTTTAAATACTTTCATTATGTGTGTCCACTATATAGTCTCATGAAATTGATTCTTGATATAACCCTCAATTATACTTATCAAACAAAAATGTAGCACGTCTATTCGTACGTACAAAGAGTCACACACACGCGCACACATATATGATAAAAAAATTATGGTATGTATATACATCCTACTGAATTAAAACTTCTATGAAATTATAAGAGGTATTTTCTATATTTGTATTATCACTATTTCTATAAGAAAACAAATATAGTAGATCATATATTTGTAAATATATTCTCTCATAATTCAGAACTTAACCCAGACTTTTATTTCCAGCAATCATGTTAATAAGTAATTGCAATTAGTAGAGGTATATAATAACGACATATCATGCTTATCGCGCATTGTGATCCGTTTGGTGATCCTGTTTTTGGCTTATTGATCTTATTAGCCAACTTTTTCACAAACACGTAACTTTTGATTTTACGTGCTGAAATGTGTAATAATAAGAAAAAGTAAGGTTGTAGTAAGGATGTTTTCTTTTGGACTGTTTTCAGTCTCGGACCAGACCAGACTAGACCAGATCAGACCACACCAGACCATACCAGATCAGACCAGACCAAACCAGACCAGACCAACAAATTTCAGTCCAAAAGAAAACATTCTTACTTTTCTGGCTGTTTTGGTTGAAGTCACTATAGATAATCATTTTAGCTATATTTTTTCTAATTTTTTTCTTTATTTTATTAATAAAATATGTTTTAAATATAAAAAAATATTAGAAAAACTAATACATGTGGGTCTAGCCCCCCCGATGTAATCTCATTATTCTCTTTGAATAAATTATGGAAGTTTTCTGTTTATATATCGTTTAAAAGGAATATTGTTGTTTTTGGGGAGACTTTAGCCAAAGAGTGTATATCGTCTTGAAGGGAGTTAGGGAGAGCCGATGTGAATATAGTGACGACGCTTAATGCTTCACATCGTTGAGATCACTGCTCAGTTCTTCTTCTCCCAAAGAATATGATACTAATGACATACTTCATATCAAAATGGTTATAGCATACAAACAATTGAACACTTTACTAAGTGAGTTGTTAAGGTAAGAGATGATGATATTAGAGTAGAGAATGATGGGGTTTTAGACCTGAACATCATGAGCGATTTTTGAAGGTATAATATAAGTATATAACCATAGCATAACTATACTTGAAAGCACATATCCTACGTTATCGAAACATTCTAAAACATACATCCGGGGCAACGCCCGGGTAAAACACTAGTTTTATATTATAGTAATCATGAATGGTATACTCATGTTAACTTTAGTCATATTTAAGTTTACTTTAGTATGTAGTACGATAGTAATATTTAAGGAAATCACTCATATTTTAATAAATTTCATGTATTTAGTATTTAGTGGTTGACCTAAAAGAGATAAAATGACACTCACGCACAAGAAAAGCTACCAGCAACGTAAGAAAACTAGTTTTGTTATGAGATAATTTAATTCATTTCTTGTTATTTATTTCATGAATGGAGAAAAATCATTTTATATATGATCAATTATTTCATTCATTTGGTTTTGTAGTGTAAAAAATCAATTATTTTCACCCATTTTTGTATCAATTGTTTTTTCTGATATGTTTATTTAAAGCATTCAAATTTTTGAAAAAAATATGCTTAAAAAAAAATTATATGGTCGGTTATTTTCAGTTATTCGGTTACAGACCGAAACCGAACTACGTTTTTCGGTCGGTTATAGTGATGTTATCGGTCGGTTTTTGATCGGTTATTAGAGAGAAAAAACTTGATCGGTTATTCGGTTATCGGTCGGTTATTTGACAGACTGACCGAATGTTCACCCCTACATCACACATTCACACATGCATATTTATACGAGTATTATTTATTTATATTTTACTACTACCTTCATCCCATTTTATGTGTCTCACTTTGACATGACAAGATTATTAATAAAGTGGTTGAAAAAGTAAAAGTTCTAGTTGAAGTTTGAGTATAATAAATTGAAATGGTGTAAGCCACATATTTATTTCCAAAAGAGGAAAGAGACACTTATTTTGGGACAACCCAAAAAGAAAAATTAGACAGGTAAAATGGGACGTAGGGAGTATATGTAGAGGTCGAAATATTAAATAATACGGAATATATTCTTGTATAACATTTAAATCACCTTATTACGAAGTACTACTACGTATAACCGCACGGGTAGCTCAATTGGTCGAGTGGTGGGAAATTTGGAACTATGATCAAGGTTCGAATCCCCGCAGCGACCGGGTGGAGGTCACAGAACCTGAAATAAGGCTGAGCCTTTGGTGTGCACGGGTGTATGGGCCTACTGTCACTTTGCTGACTGAGTCACGTGACTTACATCCTCCCATGTGTTCTGTCGGGTCGGGGCATGGGGGGCCCTTGGGGTTGGGGATTCAACCTTTTGGAACTACTACTACATATATGTAATACGTACTATAAGCCAAAGGGGTGTATCTACTCCGTAAAAATCTGGAATATTTCTTAAACCTAGGGGTGGCATATTGGTTTGGTTTCATTAAACAAAATAGTGTCAAACCGAATTAAATAAAATCGAAATCGGCCCATATTTAATTTGGTTAGAATTTAGTAGTATTTCTTCCAAATCGTATTAAATCAAATCGAACCAAAATCGAACAAAACCGAGCTAAACTAAAGAAATTCAATAAAACTTTCACATATTCTTGAAGAATAACAAATCCAAACCGAACTAAAAACAAGAAAATGTATTTTTTTGGATATTTTTTGTTCCAAATCAAACTGAATCGAACCGAAACTGATAAAAACCGACCGAATACCGCACGGATGGTGACTTCAACAGTTCAACCCATATGCCCTTGGCTACCCGACCAGTCCAAACAGACCAAGGTTGAGTGGGTATGACGTGAAAAAGGATCCAATTATCCAAAGCTTATCGAATAATCATCCACTCGCTGGAAGTAGTTCGAATCATTATGATTATTCATTTTATTTGGACCACACATCATAGATTCATATATACTACGTACTTCGTATACACTAATACACCACTAATTTGCAATTTGATTGGTATCATGGTATGGATTATATATATACAATAAAGGACATGGTTGAAAGTTTTAAAGAAAATAAAATAATTATACAATCGATACTTTTTTTTTGAAACATATACAATCGATACTTTGTACTCCTTAGTATGTGAAAGTATAGATTAGGTTTTTGATACATTAGTTAACTAATTGATTAATAAGTCGATGTATGTATAAGTTATATGTTGTTGATTGAGAAGATCACTTCCATTATCATTCAAAGATTCTTGGTATGTGTTTTCCTACTACATGACCATGTGTGTTTTTAGTAAAGTGATAGCCTAGCATGTTATCATCCCACATGCATTTCGATGTTTCTTCCTAATTTTAGCCACATTAATGATTAATCTTCCAGTAAAAGTGTAAAAAATTATCAACAACGTGGAAAAAGTATTCTACATTGTAATCTTTTGTATCCATTAAATGAGTCTTCAAGGGATTTAATTTCGAGCCCGTTTGGAGACCCCTTTTTCAGCTTATCAGACTTATCAGCAATTTAAAAACATAAGATTGTTAAACTCTTATGCGTTGAGAATATATTTTAGCAATAAAAGATTATATGGGAAAAATCAAAATAGTCATAATTCAACATATATATACTACAAAAAGTAATTGTTTATAAACTGTTGACGCCATAAGCTAGGAAAAAAGTTACTCTTTCCTTTACATTATTATCCCATCTTTCATTTTTGATTCATCCCACTGAGATTGACACCTACCTCGAGTAATAAATTTAGCAAAATGATGTATGTGTGATTCTAAATAATTCTTATGTTATTCTAACTTTTCCTAATAATCACGACACATCCTTATCTTCACATCTTAAATGTGATTGTTAATTCATCTATCATGAATCCAATCGAAGCAAGTAGAGTTGCACTAACGTACCTTGTAACCATCGAGGGAATCAAACCCGAGAAGCACATCCTGCAATTTTCCTATCAAAACCAAAAATAAAGAAAACGTTTTTAGAACAAACATTACGTACATGCAGATGGAATCCAATTTAATAAACTCATATATTCTGTTTCCATTTCACTTTTTCAAACAGAAGCAAAATCCGAATCAGTTTTTCAGAAATGGTTCTTCCACGTCTTCTAAAAAACTATTTCCAGAAGTAATTTGGAGCACTACTTATGCACTTTCACTCAAATACTTCTACTCCGTGAAACCGCAGAAGCGATTTTAAGAAGTACATCTAATTAAACACCAGAATTATTATACTGGTAATTAGAAGGTGAACGGAATAGAGAAAAGGGAAGAAGTGATGCCATGTCGATCGGGCAAGACGAGGGAGAGGAGAGTGGCGCCGTAGTTGGTAATGTTCACCGACATCTCCCCATTCTTCAGCTCATATATTCCCACACCGCTACTATTCACCCCACATACCAAAACCACAATCACATATAATATTAAACTCAGCAATAAAGATGATGATGACGCCTTCCCCATTTTTATCATTACTATATAATATTTCTATCAAATGGCCGGCCGATGGACGTTTTATATATTTAGGAGGAAAATCCGAGATTTTAGAGGATCTGTTATTATCTTATCTAGCTAGACTAGAGATAGAGATCGAGGATAAGATGAGATTAAATTAAACCTAGCTATCTATATATGCACATCCATTTTCAATTCGGATACGTCCATCGATGGGTTTAAAAAGAAAAATGCTAGCTTCCAATATTGAAAAAAAGATCGATCGATCAAAGCTAGAGATCTTGTAACTGACACACTCACATGCGTCTATTCCCATTTACATACATGTGATCCTATCCCAATCATTGTTTTTAGTTACTTATTTTCTACTTCTATATATCTCTAAAATAGAATAAAAAGTTTTCTTTTGTTGGGTCATAAAAGTGTTACACAAATTCCATTTGTGACATGCCTCTCACAAATTCTATTACGTCAAAATCAAATCATTTGACCTAATTCATGGAGCATTTCCAACGTGAACGCTACACATATGACATGAGAAAGATAGACAAATAAAATTAGTAAATAGAATATCCCATTATATAAGAGAGTTTCATTTCATTTCCCTTTTTATGAGAAGACATTTATTTATAAAATTCTCTCTTGACGAGTTTTTCCCTTCATCTTTCCGTTGTTTTTATTTCCTTTCCCTTTTTATATATTCCTCTCCATTTTAACCCACTCTTATAAATGCTCATTATTTGTGATTTAGTCTTCATAGTTATGGTACACTCGATGTTTTTTCTTTATTTCCTTTTTCATCTTCATGATTTTTCCAGATGATCAAAAAAAAAAATCTTCATGATTTTTCCTAATCCATTTCCTCTTCCTAGGCTTGGACCCGGTTCGGTCCACCCGACCCGGGAACCGGGTACCGGTTCCGGGTCTAAGCCCGGTTTGAGGTGGGTAATCGGGTCAGGTACGGGATTAGGTAAATGAGAACCGGTCCGGCCGGTTCCGGCCACCCCGGATTTTTTTTTGTTTTTTGTTGGTTTGGGGCTTTGGGTTGGGTTTAAATGGGCTGGAATGGGTCTTTCAGATGAGTTTGTGGGATGGGGGGTAGGGGACAAAAATAATCAAGAAAAAAAAATTATAACCGGACCCGACCCGACCTGTGCCCGAACCGGCACCAGTCTACTTCCGGGCCGATCCCGGGCCTAAAAGATTTTTTTTTTGCCCGGCCGGGCCTAGGCCCGACCTGGGCCCGGAACCGGTTGAGTCCATGACTACCTCTTCCTCGTTCTTCCCCTCCCCTCCATATGTTACAAGTGAAAGTTTTTTCTAAGGGTATGTTTGGTTTGAGGTAATGTCACATGAAGGCCGGAATGTGATGCACAGAATATCAAATACCCATGTTTGGTTCACAGGTTTGAGAAAAAATTGGAAAAGTTATATTCCCGGGAATGTAATATGGAGGGGAATCTTATAACCACCCATACCTTGTGTTATCTTACATTTCCGATGATGGTCTAATTTTCTTCCAAAAATACCCTCAATTAATAATCTCTTTTCATTTAATTTCTTTATATAGTGCGATTTTATAAAACTTTTAATGTAGTTTCTAAATATGCAAATTATATTTACTAAAAACTAATCTTATTATTGAAAGAGATCAGTTAATTTTATGGTCAGTCGATCGTAGATTGTGTGACAACCATTTAAGTAGGACAGATGGAGTATGTTTATTTAATTATATTCGAATGTCTATTCTTGTTATTTTCATAATTCTTTTTTTCCTTAACATTTAAATTTTTTAAGATATTTATTTTATAAACTTATAGATTATTTAAGTTTTTGATGAGTGGAATTCAAAATTTAATGGCAAAATTGATCATTTTTTCTTTAATCTGAAAAGAAGTTTTATGAATAACTTGAACATTTTTTAAATTTAATTTTTTTGAAATAATAATAAATATATTTAAATTGAACAAAGTTTTTTCCACTTTTGAATTGGATCTACAACTTTTTACAACTAAACATAATTTACTTAAAAATAATTCAATTAGGTTTGATTTTATTTATTATTAAAATATTTCATTTTTTCTTTAATTTTAATTACTTTAGATGTAGGTTGTAATAGATTTATTGTGTTAAGATAAAATATTAAAGGGCATTGAAGTAATTCACCATATCTGCAATGTAAGATATCTTTCAACCAAGTAAATTAATATCACATTCCCTTAATCTTAACCAAACATTAATGGGAATAAATTGAATACACTCTCATCAATCTAGCAAACCCATCAATCTGACATTCCCATGGTAATCTGACATTTCCTGAACCAAACATACCCTAATAGCTGTGTGAATTGATGGTGCATTCGCCTGTTTTTACTTCTTCCAAATGTATGTGTTTTATTTATTTTCTTATTATTTATATTTCATTGCCTTAAAATATATATTTTCTTGAGGACTCAGCCTAAAATAATGTTCCTATAGAGGAGCAAACTTATCCTTATTGACTTTAAAGAAATAAAATAAATTTTAAGAGCCACCAAAAAAATTATGAATTTCAAAAAATTCAAAATTGAAAAAAAAATTAAGTCAATAAGGATAAATTTGCTACTCTATAGAAACATTAGAGGTAGTTTTTCACCTTTTAGAAGTTCACGGGTATATCTACACCTCCACATGCATATAATTCAGGGGTATATTTGCATTTTTTCCCTCTTTATAACTAAGATAAATGTTCTTTGCGCGCGAAAATGTGACCTGAACTCTTAAGTGTAGTGATGATAATAGTAACTTTGGTAATAGTAACTTATCTTCAATTTTTAAACTTAAGTGACTATATTTAATGAGTTTAATTAGCCATTTTTTAGCTTCTTTGACTATATTTAATGGCCTTGTTTGGAAAATGGCTGATCAGCCATTATTTAAAAAGCTAAAATTATTGTTTGATAAATGACTGAGATTAGCTTGTTAGACCCAAACAACCAAAAACTGAAACGCAGCATACCCTAGCATCAGCATTCGGATGCTCCACTCTTGTTTTTAAATCGTTTCTTTTCCATTAGCCTTAGTACTTCAGTAGTTCAGTATTTTTTAGTTGCTCTGCCACTACGCGTTTAGTTAAAAATCCACGAATTGCATACTTAAAATTTTATTTCTCTCTCTTTTGATTAAAATTTAGCCTTTATTTTTTTTTTTTACTTTGAATTTACCTATAAATAGGTTCTCAGACATTTTTTACATCCATAACTAAGTTTTTACACTTTAGCGTATATCACTAGACATCCAAAATAATTTAGTGCTCTTTCGATTCAAATAATTTCTTCAATAAAATTATATTAATTCTTTAGTTTTTTAAATTACAAATAAACATGATTTCCTTTAATTCATATTATTCAAATTAAATTAAAATGTTTCTTTTAAATTATTTTATTTTTCAGGTAGTCTTATTTATCAATTTCTAAATTCGTAAAATATGATGATTTCTACTTTGTAAGTAAACGTAAGTAAAAAAAATTATAAGCAATAGCTAAAAACAAAACAAAAAAAACAAAATAGTAGTATTGTCCTTAAATGTGTCTTTTTAAACAGCTAATTTACAAAACATTAGCTGACAACAAACTAACATAACCAATCAGCTAAAACAGCTTACACAACCAGCTATTTTCAATCAGTTATCATAACCAGCTAATAGCTAACAGCTAATAGTCGAATGCCAAACAAGGCCTATGATGTCATACTCAGAATAACTTTAGTACTACTCCGTCCTATAATGTAAGATGCACTTGGGTTTTATGCATGTTTTAAGAAAATAATGGATAAATAAAGTGGTTGTTTTACACTTCCAACCTCCAAAAGGTAAGAAAGAATAAGATAGGTTCACAAAAAGTAAAGGGTGAAATGATTGATAAAAGGATACACTGGAAAAGTAAAAAGTTAGTGGAGTCCAACTTAGGAAATTAAATTGATCATATTTTTTGGACAACCCAAAACGGAAAGATTATCTTACAAAATGGGACGGTGGGAGTAATATTTTTATAAATAAGTTTTATTTCAATAATATTTTTATTAAAAATTGTATCTATTTCTTCGTGACACATTTCTTTTTTTATAGCGGTAAGTTAATGCCCATTTGAATTTAGCCTTGGTCCGAAAGATTCAATTTCCCAAGTGGTTTCTTCGACATCAAACATGTTCATGAATGAGGGCTAGAATAGCAGGAGGTTGACGCATATATACCTTCTCAGTGAGATGATCATCTGAAATACTCCCTCCGTTCCATTTAAATCTTTACACTTTCCTTTTTGGAACGTCCCATTTAAATCTTTATGTTTTCTTTTTGGGATGTCCCACCAAAAGAAACAAAGGAGAATTTTAATGTTGCATGAAACGTGATGGTCCCAAGTGAGGTAAAAGTCTAGAGGGGGTGAATAGACTTTTAAATCTTTTCATCTTTCAACCTCTTTTCCTCCTAACAGAATGAGTTCCAATATCTTTTGAGAGATATTGAAACATACAGCCGGAGTCTTGACCTCAAGAGTGTGACACTTTCTAGAAGGAAGGGTTTTTCGACATCAAATATGTCATTCATGAACGAAGGGTAGAATAGCATATATCCTTAGTGAGATGATCATGTGAAATGCATGTTCACATCTAATTTTTGAATACCCCACCAAAAGAAACAACAACACAACAAGATGAAATGTGGTGTATTTGACAACATGACCAAAAGTTTCGGAGAAATTAATACTTGCTTGCTAGTGGTATGGGTGGACCGGTTCCGGTTCGGGCCCGGCCGGGCCTCGGTTCAGGAATGGGAGGCCCGGAACCGACCCGGGTAATCCCGGGTCCGGGCCGGGCCTCGGTTATATTTTTTTTTTGGCTTTTCCTAATTAACCCTCAACCCTCCCCCCTCACCCCCAAACCCCCCCAAACCACCTCAAATGGCCCAAAATACCCAGCCCAACCCAAAAACTTAAAAAAAATTCAAATAAAAAAAAATTAATTTGGCCCGAACCAGGCCCGAACCGGCCGGGCCGGTTCGCCAATCCTAGGGCCCGGGTCCGAACCGCACAGTAACCGGGCCGGGCCGACCCGAACCGCCCCCCGGACCGGTTCCCGGACCAGGCCGGTTCAAACAATAACCAAGCCGGGCCGGGCTGGTTCAAACAATAACCGGGCCGGGCCGGTTCCGGGCCGCCTGGCCCGAGTCCATCCCTAGCTAGTGGAGGACCTTGGGAAGCTTGCAGGGGCAAGCGACGTTGGTTGGGGTGACACCTGTGTGGACGATG